TAACCGGATTACACAGACCCTAATCAAGCCGAGATGTATTATAGCTGAATCATTATGCCCCGTTTCATCGCGCTCGTGAACGTAGCGTTTAATTTTCCTTCGACATGAACCACATCTAATCTAGCTTAGAAAGAATAACATCAATTTTCCGTATTTTTCGTGTTTAGACGTCTTGTGTTGTACAAAAAGCGGCTCTAGAAGACAAGTTGCTGTTTATTAGTTATTAGATGTAACAACTGCACCTTTTGCTCAAATTTCAGCGTCGAGCAAAGAAGGTAGTTTAAATAAGAAGGAAAGAAAAATGGTCTAAATCTGAAGAAAAGATTAACAATCTACAACCGTAATTTTCACTCCGATTGCAAGGTCACAAATGAAATGCAACTTTAATCACTGCATTCAATAGAACTGTGATAAATGCAGGTTGATGGCTACCATCACAATATCTGAGTAGGAAAGTTAAATTCTGACAGTCCAAGCTACAGCTAAAGTTGCTGTGTCTTCCGTTTTTAGAAACTGCTCACTTCAGAAAAGTATGAAATTCGCACAAATTCGAGCATTTCTCGTCCTATTCGAGACGATCGTATCGGAAGCGGCAGGACATAAATCGAAACAACTACGGTCCACGCCGATAACAGTCTAGTAACGACATTCGTATCACAACCAGACCTTACGGTCGACAGTGCGTTCAGGTATCAGCCAGGTTGTAGTCAACTCTCAGTCATTTAAAGATTTTGAACCCACGAGTATTGAAACAAGGGCCGAAGGACATATACAACATCGACGGTAAACATGCACCGAGGCAAATTGTCGAGGTTACTAACGCTAGGAAAAGGGGAATTTCAAAACAAACTTGGGTACCCTAAACAAAAGTACAATAACAAAGGAAATACACACAAGTAAATATTATTGGTATGCTTAGGACGCGCCTTATTTACAGGACAACAAATCGAAGGCTATACAACATCGAAAGATCGAATCTGAAAAGATAAGAGCGTCAGCATTACTACCTAAGTCGAAGCTGAACTTCGCGTCAGACAAGCATTTTTTATAGTTATAAGCAAAACTCTCAAAACAGGACACTTCGGAAGAAAAGAATTTTGGGAAATATAGTCCTTGATTGAGATAGAGTTGGTTACCTGAACCAAGTCAACCATAATTCGCAGCAACATAGAAACAAAAGCAAAAATCGAAAACGATGAGCACATCCTTCCGATTTTCAGGATTATCAAAACTTTTCTATGTATAGAATTGTGGCTGTGCTACACTTAGTAGAACGAACGGTGCAAAACACTTGTTCTCTTATTCGACACGAACTTTCATTATCTTGAAAAAATGTTTCAGGGGCTTTATTGGCCTGAAATACCTAGAAGCTGCTACTGATATATACTTCACTTTTATGATGTACGCGCGTACTCCGTCACAATTCAAGCGGCATAAAACTATCTGAAAATCAGCAAAAGCTCAACTAGAAAACTATACAAGAAAATATACGCAATCGGTCATCATCAAACGAAGTGAAGCTCCAATACAAGATTGTCAGTATAAAGAACATATCGTTGAAAAATTTTTAGCTGACCTGGGAATACAATAATCATAGATAGAAATAATAATATACATCATAAGCCCCTGTAAAACAACAACTATATATGTATATATATATATATATATGACTATATTCATAAAATAAAAAAAGTGCTGTATATGGTAATCTCATCGCCGATACATCTAAATCTGGTACTCCGAAATTTGTGCAATTACATGTAGTTCTAAAATATAAATAGAACCTCTACGATTCACTCTATTCATCTGTGTTGCGAGATAGTGGGTAATCAATATGACCACACAACATATATGCTTAAATAAAAAATGATTTCATATTTATAATCATCAAAAGACACTGGTGTCTCTTACCGTGAAGATATATATATATATATATATATTATTAATCCTATTATATATTTAATTATATAATTCTATATACTATGCTATCTATTATATAATTAAGCAATGCGCGCGTGTATGCATATATACAGTATTTGATAAGTGAGCAAGCACACAATAAATTATCGTATTGCAAGCCCCTCTCTAAGAGCTCAAATGGCTGAACAGCAAGCGAAGTAGTCGCGACCTTTTTACTTCGCAGTTATGTAGGTGGTAAAGACAACTTACGCACGCGTTATCTTGCGCCATTGGTAAGTAGCTACGCTGAATTGGATTTTAATGCTATTGCTTTCTGAGACAAGTTAACGCAGAGTAACGCAAGAGTGTTTTTAATTAGTGTGTCAGATGGCTTGGTTTCAACAAAAAATCAGATCAGTCTGTTATCGTGTTATGTAGAGCCATCAGCTGGCCATTCGACTCATACTTTTGAATAAGTAGGGGCTATTAAAGATTATATTTGCCTTAGACGCAATGCGCAGCACTTAAATTTTCCCACATTTGTTGCTGTTCTTACGTAACTAGATTGCCCGCTGCTTGGAACAGAATTAATCATTGCCTTATACTAGAGATAGACTATATCTGTGACAGATATTCGTTCTGCTGTGGCAAACGTACATGCATATATCTGACATCCACAATAATATATGAACTTCATTGCTCTATAATGTCGCGCAACTTGGTCCGAAACATCGATGCTCGGCCAATACCGCGGCCTCCGACGGCCCTCAGGTGCTGAGTGCATTTCACCCCGAGCGAGCTATGGTTAGTCAATCGACTGGAAAGTTAAAAGCATATGTCGTTAGCTAAATACGGAAACTGTGTGTTCGGCTCGTTTGTTTTCCGATATCGGATATTATTTTAGTCCAAACGTGGCCTAGAAAGCATTCGTCTTCAAGCAGCAAAGGCTTTGGCTGTTTATAGACAGAAACCGTACCCTGTTTTATTAGTTACACATCAGCCAAACAATAGTCTGCAATCTGCCGATGTGTGAAGAATATGTGAAGAAATTTAGACAAACGTTCAACTATATAGAATATATATTACGTCTAGGAACAAATGTTATTCAATTTTGCTTTTCATAGCCTTTTTACTTTGACCTGTTTAGTGCTGATTTGCGTACAGGGTTCCCTCGAAGGTGCCCCCTCTTCCTTTAGTTGGTAAGACCGTTGCAATTTTGTTGTGCAATGCACAGAACTTAATGTTGAGCTCAGAGAACAAAAATAAAAAGTCCAGATGAACAATGGGTTTTCGACCAAGAAGCACGTAGCCACAATGGTAGTTTTTTTTTCGTGCAGAACTATCACTGGTGATGAAAAATAACCTCTATGTCGACATAAAACAGAGGAAGAAATAAGTAGCTCTGGCTGATACGTCTAAGCCCAGGGTTTGGCTTACTTCTATTTCAAAAAGGTAATTTGCATTTAGTGAGATTGGAGATGCCTTACGCACTGAAAAACGCCTTTAAAGAACAAGACGGTCAACAAGGACCTGAATATGGCCTGATTGCATCGAGTGAATAAGGCAACCCAAGGTCCCACAAACCCAAAACGAAACATGCTTCTCCATGAAAATGCCAGGTTGCACATGGCAAAAACTGTTAAGGGCGTCCCTCAACAGGTTGAATTGCTTCTTTTGATGACAAATGATGAGGATCACCTTTTCCAATCAGTGGCCAATAAGCTTCATAATTGTATACGTCGCAGTAAAAATTCACATAAAAACTTGAAAATTCCTTGTTTGAACGAATCAATTAGGGAATGGAAGAGGCGGTGGAGGGTGACGGCGAAGATATAATGAATTTGTTACTAGAACTTGGGTGATACGTTGTATTTAATATTTGTTAAAAATTCCTCATTTGCTAGCCGTATGTTACGAAAGAGGATGGTAAGCAGACTGAAATAACGAATTTTTTTATTCGTTATTTCAGTTATTTAAACTACGCAAATATAGCTTATCATCTTCAGTTCAACACTTAAATATACAGTATAATGAAATTTACAAGCGACGTAAAATCGTGCGATTTCTTTCGTTGTTGTTTCGTAGAGCTCACTAATCGAATGCTCTATTCTGTTCGACCGTATATCAGCTGGTTTGATTTTTGAAATCTCAGTGGCATGTACACGTACATACTTTAGAGATCCAGGCTGAAAGCTATTATTGCTTTCAACTACGTAGATAAAGCTATTTAGCATTATTGCAATGCAGAAATATGTAACTTTTGTAGACCACTGTAATAGTTTTCACCGTTGTTTTCCAGTTTTCACGCAGCTCAAATGACCTTACTTACGTTCAGAGGCAAAATGGCTTAGATTGATCCCAGCATTGGACCCGAGCATGACCGTCAAACAGATGGACCTTTACGATCTCCAAGCCCATGGTAATCTCTAGCCAGCTATAGTCACTTGGTGAGACCGCTGCATAAAGCCTAACCGAAACGAGCTCCCTAGCTCAGAAGCCTATAGCTATTATTCGCCATGGCACAACCTTGCAGCGCAACGCTGTCCAAATACCGCAAAAGTGAGCAAAAGTTCGTGGTTCTATATGTGGCTAATGGCTGATGCGTTTGCAGAATGTTACAAACACCCCGTATGCATAAATAGAATTTGATTGATCATGTGGGTTTTATTCAATAATAATAAAAAGAAAGGTCACCACTAATTGTTGAAACAAATCCACAGGAATCCAAATGTGGAAAAAAGCTATATATGAGCTTCTCCTTCTTTGTTTGCACAGTTGTATACTACAAATTGCAAGAACATCGCTGAGCAGTCACGATCACGGTGGGATCGCTACTTGTGCCCTAGTATATAACTAAGGATTGCTACCCCATTTTTGCAACCCGATTTATTTCCTATAATTTCACAGAGAGAATTTAGCAGTTAATAATTGACTAACTTCTAAGGGGCGCAAGAAGCTCTAGCAGCAAATGATCCCAGCGGAGCCAAAATATATGAAGAAAAGAGGAGAAAAAGATGCCTCTATTCACTATAGAATGACATTCGTAGTTTATATATATATATATATATATATATATATATATTATTTTGCTTTCATTTCAGGTGCTGTATCTAACTGTCCGAGTTAAATAGAAATGGATCTCGGTCTGGTGACATCTCAGCCTCGAGTGCTATCTTCGATGATTTCTGCAATCAAGAATTCCTCAAAAAACAGTGGGCCTTTACTACCCACAATGCCCAAGGTACAGAAAGAAAACAGGGTGCACCTATGCTGTCGGTCACTTAATGGCATGGCTGATAACGTTGATCGCCCCTCCATAACCGAAATAGTGGTTACTCCATACCAAACAAGATCATCTAGCAAACATTGCTTGAAAAAGAAATACTAAAATAAACACAATGCGTACTCACATTGATAATGAAACCACTAACAGCTTTAGAAGTGGCCATACTCGCTTTGGCTACAAAAGAGGCGCGCCACTTTCCTGACGGGCCTATATCATGCTTGTAGACAGAATCAATGACGCTTACAATATATCATCACAAAATTCAGCCGATTACATACACAAGTAATGATTATCACAATAGTAATAATCATAATAGAAATAATTTTTATGCGATTAACGTAAGATGTACGCCGAACCCTGCGTCCGTCGTTGTCCTGTGACCGATCATTGCTAGCTGACATCGATGCATTTTAAGGCGTTCTACTTGCATGCCGTTGTGACCTACGTAGAATGTTTTGCAATTTTTGAATTGTTTTTTGAACAATTTGCATTTTGGTAAATATTGTTGTAGTGAAATATTGCATGGATAATGATAATCCGCCAGGGTTTGGCCGCGTACATCGGTAAGGTTACTTTAATTGAGCTGAACTTTTCTACCGATCACCAAGCAGTACTCGTTCTGGAAATCCGCAGGTTGCACTGCATTTCAATATTAGATCTGAATACAAGCTCGACAACAGATGATCAAAAGCTCTAACAGATTTATATAT